GACTTACACACAGTGACTACTTCTAAACTCGGTTATTATCTTGTTGGAAAATCATGGAAACTTTTTTACAGTTTTCGATCATTATTCGACAGTTTTCTTGTTATATCATCTCACAGTGACGTAATTATCACAAATTTAGTGAAATTTGAGGTCTGTTGATAGTTGATTAATAAAATATGTTGCATCGACGTTCGGGTGTTGACAGCACCTCGGTATTCAAAGATCACTTGCGGCGCACTAGAGCTTTCCGCGCTTTTTCTGTCTTCAACTTGGTGGTGTGCCCTCATACTTACAATCTATTTGGCACTCGGTGAGTTTTCTCGCTTAATTTACACCGGGGAGTCAGTAATCCGCGGTTGTTCATCCAAAACTTGTATAACTGGAGTCGCCTTGCAGGCAGGTAGGCTATCAAGCAACAGCGCTGTTTCATCGGACTCTTTTACCGGTACTACTTGGAACACAGTCTTTGGTGCTATGACGTTTTGTTCATCAACTCTATTTTCCTTCACCGCAGCTACTTTTGGGGTGATGTGGTTAGAAGCATGTACACCGTTTGCTACGTTCTTTTCTGTTAAAATCTGTGACGAATTGGTCATGGTAATATTTTTCTCGTTTTGTGTTTGGTTTATCTGCTTTTCAGTGAAATCGTCATCGCTTGTTGGTAGAAACACAGAATCTTCCACTTTGTTCTAAAACGACACAACATAGTTAGCAAACATAAAAAAGAACAATTTGTGGAAATTTAGAATAATACAATTTAGGATAAAGTTGAAATCTGGCCTTCTCATACGGTTTTGATCGTCTCAGACTACCGGTATGTTCTAACTTTTTCCTATTAAGTACCTCAAAGTCGTAAAACGAGGTACTCAAGCTATTAATTGCCTTAGATTGTGCTTTACTTAGAGCTGAACCAAAATGCCGTGGCTTGTTATCATTTTTTCTCAAATAATAGGTTTCAATTCGAATTTCCCAGCGTTTTCCTGTTTGTTATACAAATGAACGAAAAAAGACTTAAATATGTCTTATAATTTACCTCTGTACTTGCATCATCCTTTTTCCTTCTTGACCACACCTTATGTTTCGGGTCAGAGGTCATAGAGAATCTGCTTCCAGTACTTGAAATACTGCTCAGTGTTTTGGTGCTCTCAGTTGATGGACGATCTTCTTCTTCGACAGGGGTATAGCCGGAATCTCTACCATCTGATATGCTGTGGTCCTCGCGTATGCGTTTGCTAAAATATCATTTTACGTACATATTAACTTGCGCGTGAAAATGCTGTTTTTTAATTTGTTGTGTGAGTTAAGGTTTGGTTTGAATTTAACACATATATGTTCAAAAACGCCTTTAATTAGCGGGTCAGTTGCGAAATAGCCCTACGCTTGCAAATTGGCCGGTTTGTAACATTCGAAAATGGTTTCAATGACGTCAAAAATTGCGCACCTTTTGGCGGTTACGCTTTCGCGTTAGTCGTGAAGACTGCCGTACCGGTAGTTTACTGTGACAGATTACACAACGTACTACTTCGTTTCGTCTGTGGTGACCATACATTCGAGCATCACTTCTTGTATTTATGATAATTAATGGGCAAACCCAATAATTTATACTTAAAACTATGCGGGAGCCAAGGAGGCCGCATTCGTTGCAGTGGGCTTATGTCGGCCCTGTATTTTTATATGTACATATGTTATACACTCTGACTTACATAGAACTCGTTGCACTCCGTATTTTTGTATCTTCTGTTGATCCATTTGGTATCATGATTCTGGGGATCATTAATTCTGCTGGGCTGCATGTGGGTGTCCCCACTGTTTCGTACGTCTGTAATATGAAGTCAGAAAATAAGAACAAAGAGTTCATTTGCAAGTTCAAAATTGGTAGATGATATATACACTAACAGAGAAGACCCGTTCAAATCAGAATCAATGTGGTCAGACCCTATTTATACTCGGGCCTATTATCAAAAACTACATCATGGATGTAATATCTGCGCCGTTTTCTGTCTTTAAAGCTCATTACTTATCGATTTTAATCGGTAAGTATGTTGATAGGTATTTTTACTTATCGATTTTTATCGGTAAGTATGTTGATAGGTATTTGTCTGTCTGTCTGGCTGTATGTCTGTTTGTCTGTTAGATACACGCGATATCTCACGAAAACGAGATTGAATCTGCTCCAGATTTTTCATGTGCATTCATCATATATCGGACCAGAAGCCTATTGATTTTGGGCGAATTATGTCGTATAATTAGCGTGTTATTATTTTATTATGGTGATGGGACACAATGTGTCACTATGGAGTAAGAGCGCTGTTTTGGGGGATCCCCTAACTTTTGATCGATAAGTCCTCGGTCTCTGACCGATATTCTACTTTAGTTCTTTGGTACGTTATAGCGTCATTGTTCGACCTTTGCCCGATGGTGGCGTGATCGCATGCCAACGATTGACGATTTTTGTTTTGACTGGAATGTAATCCTTTTGACACCCTCTGCTATTTAAACTAATTTTCGGGTATAGATATGCATGGGTCACGCGAGAGTATCTTATATTAGGGATTAATGATTACTATACCTCATTTGTGGTAATTGACAATAATTCGACAGATACCAACTGGATGAAGCGTTAGCTATCGGATCTGAATATAACATCTTTAATATTCGGAACCATGTATGACTATCACAAAAGCAAATCCAATGCAAATGTGAAAGTGAGAATAAAACCGTTGGAATTTTGTAACGGACGACTGTTATCGCATTAAAGTTCGAAGTGCGTAAGCAACTCCGAGCTAAATGTACACACCCCTCTTGGGTGTGTGTCCTACGTAAAACAAATTCTTTCTAAACATCACTTCATAAAGGTGCTTGCATAATGCAAAAGCTACAATTACGACGGTAAATGAAGTTTACCCTGGGGAATTTCTGATTGAATTACGTTTCCTATTTCGATTTACAGGTCCATAATTTGAAACGCGCGTCTATCACTTCTATTTTGTAGTCTGTCAAAATGTAAAATGCATTTCAACAAATTGAATGAAATAATAGATTCACATAAGAAATCAGAAGTAAAAAAACTCACATTATCAAACTTCTTGAAATTTACGTTGTAACCGTTTGATTGAGTAAATGTGATAACATTTTCAAATCGATGTCCCCAAAGCATTTCTCCTGGTAAGTAAGATGCACGAGCTTGTGTTGTCATTCCGGTGGCTTCTACCATCCCTTCCAAAATAAGTATGATCTGTGGAAAATAACGATATTTATTTAAGCGGTATTTAGCGACGTTCCGTGGTACTAGGGATAGTTTGTAAGTGAGATCATGATTACTTCCTGCTTCCGGGACCATACTGCTGACCTGGCAGGTTTGAACCTAAAATTGTGACCGCAAAATTGAAAATCATAATGATTAAAGGAAACAGTACACTATATTGGCTTGAAGATGTTTCATTGTTACCGATACGGTAAAGCCTTGGAGCACCGAGTTCCTTTAAAAGATCGGTTGGAAAGCATAACGAAGTGGGTCATGTATGCCTATCTGAAAAAGTGTTCCCCTTTAAAATAAAACGAAACGATAATAAAACAAAACGATTCAAGTGAAATATCGGGTCCTATTATAGGAGTAAGTGAGAATTTAAAAAAATAAAATAATAGCCTTCTATCCATCGATTGGTCTATTAGGTACAGAGAAAAAAGGCAAAAAACGACGAATAGATTCACTTCTTGTCCACTAGTAACCAAATCAATCGTATCTCACCTCAAAATCAGCGTCTTTTAACGATTCTTTGTTCATATTGTACAGTGGGCTATCGGCATCAATAGGGTGGCAAATAGTTTGAGGAGTTACGAGAAATAGTCTGTCGGAATCGTTTTTCAAATCAAGATGGAGATCTATTTGTTCCAATGGTATAAATTCACCTTCGAGTGTTGTTCGAGAGTAGATATATTGCATCCTGTAAAAAAACATGACGTCACAATAGTAAAACAAAATGGCGTACGTTGTATTTTCACAGAGCTCAGTCAGTGGCGTTCTGACACGTTAACGTTCCGATAAAGCAGACACTGATACATAAGACAATGATATATTGCAAAGACCGGTATCTACGTGGAATAGCCTTGTATACCCCATTTATTCGAGGGTGAAGCTCTTTCTGTGTGCATGGATTTAAAAACCATTGATTATTTGTTTCACATAGTCAACGGCAAAAATTAGAAATAATACTTAAGACGAGGATAATTGATGTATTTACCTTATAGTTGCTTCCACCAAATGACTTTTCCTCAAGTTCCCGACACGAACCATGAGACACATTTGTCCGTCTCGAACATTAACGCACGCTTTCTTACTAAAAAGTAATGTTTCGGCTCGCTTTTTCGGTCTGCAAAGAAATTTTTTTTAAAATTGTATAAAAAGAATAATGGTTAAAAGCGTTTCACCGGCATTGTCTAACAATTAAATGATAGGGTCTTAAATACAATCATATTTTTTTCATACTGTCTTTCAAATTTTACATATACAAGAATAATAATGTTATAAAATAATATAGTACCGTGAAATTTTGGCCATTATTAAACCAATCATAAAAGCATCGATAACGCATCCGAATACTGATTGTAAAACAACAATAATTATAGCTGACGCACATTCTTCTGTCACCACCCTGAGTCCGTAACCTGGAAAAGAACAGAACTATATTTAAGGAAGGAAATGTAAGAAAATATTTTTACGCCTCCTTCACTCAGAACAATTCTCTGTATAAGTAATCCATTGTTACGTGAGTGAAGCACAAGCAATGAAATTTCCCCAGTTTCCCACACTATAAAAAAGGTTTGGTAAATTTACCGTCATTTTAGGGGGGAAATGGTGCGTTTGTTACACCTTGCTAGTTATGAGATTCGAAGCCGAGATTTTTTCGCCTATGAGGCAATGCACTTAAAAGCGATTTGTGGAAAATGTGGTATTTTAGCACTTATCAAAATAACTTAGACCAGTTTTTTTAAACTGGGATCTTGCCCCTCTGGTGAGACACATGACGGTTCTCTGTGCTTTCGTTTGTTGGCTTTTTTATCTTTGGAAGGGGTTAATCTTTGGAAGGGGCCCACACCAAGAGTGAGTTTTAAAATGTATAACCGGAGTAATTATTGCCATTTCGAACAGTTGGGGTTACGTGAAACTAACTACCTTTCCTTGCTCTATGCCTTCGCGCAGGTGGATCCGTATGCTTATAACGCAAGGATGATGTAGCAAGAATGAAACTGACTTTTCTATTTAATTCAAGAGTCTTGATTCACACTAACACAGATGTGTTGAGGTCAGAGGTTACATAAATACAGTTGTGTTAGTGTGCAGCAAGACTCTCGAATCAAATGGAAAAGTGATTCATATTTGCAGTTCATACAGTGAATAATACTTGGTCTTCGTTGTTCAGCAATTACAATAAACAACAAAAAATTCAAAACATGCTTACCAATAGTGGTCTGAGTTTCCAGTGAAAAAAGAAATGCAGATGTAAAAGGAGCACTGGCTTCAAGATTGTTAATGCAAGCTGTCTCATTTCCGCCTTCTACAAAATCTCCATGTACGTGCGCTATCAACCAGTATAGGAGTCCAAAAAACAGCCAGCTGGAATTAAAATAAACATTCAAAAATAGTACACTGTATAAAATTACAATAATTTTAGTGCGTTTTGTTATTTACATTTGTTCACAGTGTGAAATATAGTGTGAGGGTTAGAGGTTATTTTTAGATAGCACAGTAAAGTTTCTTTCGTATATGAAAATAACAACTTGAATCCCAAAGAATTTCGGCGCTATGGGGATGATGTATGCCGCAATGGGGATGATTTACGGAGTGACACAAAAACAGAACTCATGTCATTTAGAACATATTCTAGCAAGAACATAACTTTCGTGCAAAGATGATTATTGAAATTTTTGGTACAATCGTATATAAACAGAAATTTAAATATCTAAGACTTCTAAGTGTTTAAAAATGTCTCCTTTTTAGAAGTTATTAGGCGAAATATAATGATCCTGTTTTTCGTCAACATTTCAATTATGGAAGATTTCCATTCCACTTGATTAAGAATTTATAAAGATACTTCAAGCAAAAATCAAACAAATAAAACTTTGTTCATTTTGTGAAAACCAATTTACCTTACTTTAAAATATTACGAGCACGTCGGAACTAACAGTCATTAAAATGTAATATCGATATATTTTTGTTTAGTTAGCGGAGGAATGCGTATTATTTTCTGCAGAAAAATCGATCAAATATACTTGCGTTTAAATGTAAATTAGGAGGATGAATGGAATTGTCTAAAGCCATGGGGCCGGGCAATCAGTCCCATAGTTTCGGAGTGGGTACACTCCAAACCCCGCGGCTTTCCGTTGAGAAACTTTTGAATAGATATGCAAAACGAGTATGCCACGTCTATTTATTATTCATTGCAATCATTGCGATTTTTAAATACTTTGTTCATGCGCTGTAGAGGTCTATCTCTCAGTTAAAATACAATAACACCGAAATTAGATTGATTTCGACTGTTTTTCAGTTTAACCATGAAATTGCTGCACTTACTTAAACCACACAATTTTCCGGGTCAATGTTTCCGAATGCTCGTATGAAATATTAAACAGTTTCTAAACATCATTAAATGGATATTGACAAAATTACAATAATACGTATTGTCGCTAGTTTACCACCATAATTATGATAATTATGAATCGAATATTTAAGCTGATCGATGTAAGACAACTTACCGAAGCGCCAAAAATATTTCTAATTTCTTACTTTCTCATGTTTACATGTTGTTTTTCAGCATGATTTACGTCAAACGCACCTAAAGTAATTTACCTTACTGCCTTAGGGAAATAAGAAATGGGTATTCGTGAATTTTGCGCGCGATGTACGTCAACTTTTAATAATAATTATTAGTACGCATAGCATCGCACTCTTTTTATCCGCCATTTCCCCCAAATTCTAAAAGTGTACCCGCCAATTAAACTCACCTTATGATAAATGCAGTGCTAAATAGAAGTAAATTCCAACGCCATCTCAGGTCCACACATGTTGTAAAAATATCTGCCATAAAACGTTGTGGTTTGTCGCTAAGATGTGCATGGCTGACGTTACAGTGCCCTGATTTCTTGATGAACCTAAAATGACATCACACGTTTATTTACACGTCACTATTAGTGACGTCATCAAAATGAACGCATAGTATTCCACGACCTGGGGCAGGCAGCATATAGTTTAAAAACAAGCCTTGGTAGATAAACTGAACAGCTGGTTACACAATCAATCATGCTTTAATTTGACGGGTGATTAAATCGTTTATTAATTACTGATTTGCCTTTTGACCTGCACAATTATAAATGATAATTAATGATATTGTATTTATAGCATTTGTTCGGAAAGGTCAGCGGACTTAGTGAACTCTACCACTGTAGCCTATGTAGCAATGAGGAACTGATGAGACTTTATAAAATATAACAGACGATTAAAAGGGATACATCTTCATGACTAGCGCGAAGGTGGAACCGCCAGAAAGTGCGCAACTTTTGATGGCGTCATCGCACACAAAAACGAATCCCATAGTATATGAGCATAGTGCCCACAGAAATTTTTGATAGGAATAAAGTTAATGGCCTTCTATTGAAAAATACCACTGAAAATTCAAATTCAAAGCAATTCGTCCAATAGTTGATGAGAAAAGCGACTTTTTCATAACAACAAGAGGAAAATACCATCAATAAATAACAAGAACAACATAATACCAAAATGGTTCACAATTCGTGTTCAATAACAAAAATATATTTAGGTTTACTTTCTGTAATATGTCAATATATGGAGACAATTTCTATTCCATGAAAGACAGTATGTTACACATATGACCCAATAAAGGGGGTAATTGCTAGAGTTTCGATAAAGCCACAACCGCACTTTTTTCAATCAAAGAAGGACTGTTTGTTGCAAAATACGCATTCAGTTTATAAAACGTTAAAATGGGGAAGGCGAACAGGACCAAACGGCACTTATTGATTACAATTATATACGAGGTGAACGGCGTTGAATAATTCGCGCTAGGCGTGTAAAAATGAAGCCGCAATTTTCCAATGCATGCACACAGAAAGAGAATGATCGGAATAGATCAGCCGCAGAAATCAACAAGCTGTAAAGCTAAAATGAGATTCAGAGAAACTGTACCGCAGATTTTCACGAAATGAACCAATCTGTATAGAGAATATTGTATCACTGACACCTGCTTATCATAGGAAAACACATACCTGTGGATATTTTATATAATATGTATAAAATAAAAATTCAAACAAATGTAACATAATATAATAATATATTATAATCTTTGCTGTAGCATATCAGGTCAATCTCATTTTAATATTAGCATCCCACATAATTGCAAGAAATATGATAAAGAGATGAATACGGTACAAGGATATCATAGTGCGACGAATTAACATGCCACATAAGGTAGTTATACCATAATCTTGTAAAATGGAGACTTATGTTTCTCAAATTTTGAACCAGTGCGCATGGATTTGATTATAATGAATCCCTCAAATGAACATTTGGGTGGGGTAGGAGACTACAAGCGGTATTGTAATATCACAGTTTAATGACGTCATATTTTCTACTGTGGCGTCACTGATATTAAAAATTTGAAATGGCAGGCGAAAATATATTTAAATATTTGAAGTGAGAAAAATGAAAACCTGCATTTCTTTTTCCTGTGTAGTAATCGGTTCGAAGAATGACGCATAATTTCATTGGTATATTCATTGCTTCTATATGGAGGAAGACTTTCTTCTTTACTTCTACAACTATCGATGCTTGTACAAGTCATGATCACTGCATTATTACTAAGAGAAAAAAATAAATGGTCAAGTCGCGTAGATACGTAGATGTGAAGCAGAGTTATACCAAATTCGGGGTTATAAGGAGTTTGGGGTTGTCTGCTAGTACTGATACAGTTCTATCCTCACTAATGCTACATAATCGATAAATTCCTCGTTATTCTGTGTTTATCTGCTAGGATCATGCTACACAATTTCTAAACGCATCATCTCCTATCTACTTTATATGCCTAATGAAGTAAAAAGTAAGATTGTGCTACTTTATGTACCAACTTTTGAGCTACATTATGGGTACGAAATTCCCAAAAAAAAAATAAAAACAAGATTATTTCATGTCTTACGCACGTGCGTGTACCAAAGACGCGGAACGTTCTACGCGTCATGTGACTCAAGTAACTTACGTATTGTTTTTTGAGAAAACAACTTTAATTGTAAGTCCAGAGTACACCATGGAAATCAATAGAATGTGGAAAGAAATGATATTAGATGAATAACAAAGTGGTATTTTGTAAAATATATTCATATTTGACGTAATTATCGGAAATTTGAAACCTGCTTTTCCTGCTGAATACGACACATGAGTCAAGCTATTGTTAGAACAAAAAAGTTTCATAACAACAATCATTCCAAACGGGCTCACAGACAACCCATTTTGGATGTAAACAAGGAATAGTATATGAGCAAGACGGCAAATCGAAGGATTTTCATAATTTGGTTATAACATGAATCCTATATTCGATTTTACAATAGTGCTCTTTTATACGCATGGATTTGATGTGCGGATTCGGCGACCCGAACGAACAGTTTTTCGACTCGTCGAATAGAAAATATAAATTGATATACAAACATCAACTATTGGCGAGAAATATCCGATTTCGTGTGTTTCATTCTGGCATGTATTAAATACAAATATGATAAAACCGATTTAGCAAGCGCACACTCGCGCGATAATTTTTTTTTTTATCTTTCTTGTCTGTATGGGGAATGGTATAATTGTTAGTAGTTAGTGCGTCCTCCTAGTGCGTTGTTTAACTTTCATTTGCACAGCAATACCCAGTACAAATACAGTTTGTAGAGCGTAAAAGGAATGAGTAACATGGAAATCCCACCAGAGTATACCATTCAGCCCATAGGTACGATATATATAACCATTATATGTGTATCTTGACCTCAGGTAATCTCATTATGTTCTAATGAGTTTCCATTTCTGTCTCATAATTATGGTTTCCGACTTCCGGTTGTCAAAGGTCAAGTTGTTAAAGCTAATTCATGATTCTGACCTCGACCAGTCGAAGTTTATGTGTGCAATTAAGTACAAGAGATAGAAGAATAAATCTGTTAACGGCGTTCATCTCGTGGACGTGCTTAACAAATAACATCATATTCAATATCCTGTTACGAGGAATACTTGATGAAAAACGCAATTTTGCATTTATAATCATACCTGTCATTATCTTCCTGGTGAATGCACTTTTCTTTTCTTTCTATTCCTGGATCGGTGATTTGTACGTATGCATCTCCTTCGCCCGATTCGATTCTAGAATTAAATAAGTTAGAACGTGGTAAACATGGTAGCATGGTACTAGGTTGGTAACTTTGCAACAATAAATTCGCAGTGCACTCGTAAATAATATCGTATTTTACGACAAAAATTAAACAAAATATTTTTTTTTATATTATTCAAAATTGAAATTGATTATGTAAATAAGAATGGAGAACAAAAAATTGAATTATTTTATGGAATTACCGATAGCCATGCGTAATTCAGTAAATTCATAAACATATATCCACGCCACCAATAAATATACTATTTTATTTTCTACACCTTTCTAAAAATTCGTCCAACAAATCTACTATCTCAGACTAATATTTTATACAGAAACTGTTAGCAGACTATAGAACCATTTCACACAAATAAATAGGCTGAATTTAAGTATATAGTAACAATATGTACAGTCACAACAACGGCTGTGAAACGACACCAGGCCCAAATTTACTAATTACTACTTTACATTAATATAATAACAAAAACATTTTAATGATGTATCTGTTTCTAACGACTAATTTGCTCAAAATTTATAACTTTCGTTTCGAACTTTCTCATCCGTGTTTGGAGACAATCAATCGTATCTCATCTATCAAACAAACTCATGTCGTGTCTCCATATATTTACACTTTTTATTCGTGTTAATCTTCTATTTGTTATTCACCACGATATGTTTACAAGACATTTAGAGAAATAATGAAATAACAAGAATTAATTAAATATTATTTGATCTTAATTGGTGTGTTGTTACAGGTCAGATCTTGTCCACCTTTGACCGGTGGTCAAGTAGACAAGTTTGCAGCAATTAGTCGCCATTTTGTTATGTATCACCACCTAAAATAGCTTCATTGTCTAAAATTTAGACTCTAAATTGACATTAGTTCTTCAGAATTTCAGGCAGTATTCATGTGAAATGCCTTTTTGTGCGAATTTTTGTAACAAAAGAAATAGTGTACATTGGTCAGGATTTTTTGTAGCATTGCTTCCATATAATTTCACTATCAATATTATCACGTTAAATTTCGCGATGTAAAAGTAATTTTCTCCCAACAGTACAAAACTTCAATTTTTTTTCTGTTAATTGTTTTATCGATACATTATATAAGTAGACTTTCTTTTTCGATTTGTGTTCAAGAGACCCGATTAGAATCGATTTTTTATTTGAACAAAGAGATTTTCTCCCAAAGTAAGAGCGACTTTTCAACTGCATTGAAATCCCTAGCGTGCAATTATTTGTGTATGCTTTCACGCGGAAGTAACTGCACATTATGGGTACAAAGTTTAATAACTGGAAATTACATGAAAGCGCGAACGCGAATTTACACTTGGTGGTAAAATTATGAGGGTGAAACATGAAGAATATCACAAACACAACGATTAACGTATACCAATATTGTTTTCAATTCAATTATTTTTGAATTCGAATATTTGATCACATATAGAAAAATCCGAACGTCGGATTTTTTTTTATTTATTCTCACCAACGAATGGGAGCCCAAATAGTTGGCTTCTCGCCTCATTTGCATGTGTATATTTGTAATCTTCTAATAATCTAATTCAAGCACAAAAGTTTTGAGCTAATTATTATAATTTCAAAATACTGATTTAAGTTGATAATTCTTATGAAATACATTCATAATAGATAATGCTTGATTTTGCTTGAACAAACTCAATTACCATGAAACAGAAGTAAATTTTCAATCTTCCTATCCCATTGCATATAAATTATTATTGATAATAATATTAGGCTTAAGATGGAAACATTAAAATGATGACAGATGATGATGTGGTCAGTTTTATCAAAGGGGTAAAGGACAGGGATTGGGTTGCGAACAAAACAAGATGAATGACGTACTTTGTTGTTGATGGGTCTGTCAATAAATGACCAAAAATCAATTCGATGTGCGCGGGTATGAACTAAGAATCGCGGTCCCGTCGGGAGGAATCTTTCAATTGATTCTATTTTGGGAAATGCAGTCGGAACTATTACAAAGTATTACAAAAGTTTAAATTTAAACGATTATATATGAATTGTATCTTGTTTAGAAGTTGCCTTGAAAAAAAACTTGTTATCTTTAAATGACAGTCCAATACGGACAGAGAATTACGACTGGGACCACATAACCATCCCTACACTAAAACTGTTGTGTATCATAAGAAGCTAACAGAATACAGGCTTCGGGCAGGTTTCATCATTGCTATATATGGATAAAATAGGGCACTTCATTTTGGAACTAAAAGAAAACTCAAAGAAACTGAAGGAAAACAGAATTCTTGAATAGAATGAAACCTAGTTTTTGTCGTGTTTGTGGGAAAGCAATATTTTACAGACAATGACTAACTGACACAATTTCATTAATATTGATGTTAATAAAATAAAGTAATTCTACGTTCCATAAACGACCTAAGTTGTGATTGCGAAAAGGTCTGTTTTTTGGCAATTCGAAATCGAGTGCATAACTCTAAATGAAATGAATTTAAACTGTTTTGAGTTCGATAAAATTGAATACTCAAATCAAAGTATTGGTTTATCAATACTTTATCAAAACACAAAATTTCCATTTAACATGAAAATGTTACATTTACTTCTGAAGGTAATACCTACAGTACATCCGCTACCGGGTTCAAACTATCATGTTCAGAGTTCAAAGATCAAGTGTGATTAATTAGTAAAGTATATGTTAAAGATAAGCTACGAACAGTGATGAATTGTGATGATTTAAATATAATTGATTCATAAAATGAAGTTGGAGTTAATGAAGTAAAAATTAATCAATATTTTGACTCACGGTGAATCGATTTAATATGGTGAATCTTATGGTGTATTAAAATCTGTTTAATCTTTTTGTGCCCACAATTTGATGACAATTTAATTAAAAAGATATCTACATTAATCAATCAATGACATACGTCGAAGGAGAGTCATAATTTAGGAATAGAAGAAGTATGGATAAAATCGAGTTTTAACTTACGGAGAATTCTTGAACATATTCTAAATGACCAACAGAATGAATACACGCTACACACAACTCCAATCCAGTCAAATTAGTCCGCAAGAATTAGCCATGATAAAAATATATTTACAATTGCTCAAAGAAATGGCAAGAATCCAATGCAAAAGCATAAACAGTTGAAAAATTGCGAGCTGCTTTGAGCAACCTATATTGAGTCATTACTGCAACACAACTAGCCAAATGTACTAATTTATCCGCCGTGATAAATTATCACTACAATCTACCACATTTAATTTTCACACATTGATATTATTGATAAATACCTTGTATACTTGCAGTTTCTGCAGATAGATCCCATATGAAAGCAAAAATTATATATAAGTATATTACAAATCACTCCTGGAGAACACAGTGGAAAAATTTTACGAAAACTACAAACTACCAGTAGTTTTATGCCTCTAATATTTTACATCATAATTTTTACATAATATCGATCGAAAAAAGTTTATCATTGGTAACGAATAGGGGAAATCCCAGAAACGACTATTTTTCCAAATATATATTCAACTGTATAATAGATCAGAACTCATATACCTAAATATTCTAACTGAAATTTATTTCTCATAAGCTTAGCTTGAATAATCGAGAAACTGTCGTCAGTTTGATAGTATTTTTTCCAAACTGTAAACGGCAGCCATTTGGCTGTTCATAATTTCGCTTCAAAATTCAACAAAGCCTCGGATTGGCGCATTAATTAAGCTTAGGCCTGTTATAGCTCTGTTACTATATACAATGCTCTTCCAACTCAAACACAATTCAGTCTTTGCACTGAATGACGTAATAGGAAATGACAGTTCGCGTTACACGTCGTTTTCAAAAACAGAAAATGATTATGCAACCATACCATTCCTCCGGGATAAAACGAAAGTCGTTTGAAAACTAGACTAGATCACTGTGCGTCCAAAGTTCGCCTACGCATTGAACGCAAAATTGTTACTTGCTAAATCATAACAATACGAGAACACACAAAAGTATTACTAATACATTATTTATTAAAAAACAAAATTCTTTCCATTTGGACCTCCTGTATTTCAAAATAAGCCACTGAAAGACTCAAAAATTAACGATAAACAAAGGCAAAGGGTTAATTGTATACGGTCACTACAAATTCAAAATTTTCTCCCAATATTAGCGCTGGTTGTTGTTCTATCGTTTATGGTCACAGTTTCGGACTATACTATACTACTTAACGGTCGTATTTCAAGGTTTACTAGGCTTAACACGGTAGAAATGGAGGCCACATATAATAACGCGGAAGTTGGATTTCTGTCTTCCTTACTATACCACGCGCAAACTACATTAAACTAGTATCAAACGGTTCGCGACCTATTCATATATCATCATATGGTAATGTGTTAATAATAGTTATAATCGTGTCATGGCCCGTGATTGACACGTCGGATTAGTCACGCGTAAAATCACGTGATGTATTCTTAATTGTTTGTTTGTTTTATTTAATAGTCACGATCATGAATATTATTAGGTGAGGACTTTGATTTTGTGCGGTACATAAACAAAATATCGTCACGCTAATAACCGAATTGCGTAAGTCATTTTTGACGATTTTGAGTTTTTTATAAAATAGGTATACCTGTCTGTTAACTCAGATTTTAATTTGGGAATTCCGAAACCCATAAAAATGGAGATTTAGTATGACATGCACATTTGTGCAATTGTTTTGTCATAATGAATTATCCCTGTTACCGCAGTACTATTGTGACGTCACAAAGGCAAAATAACCTCGGCGAAGTATTTTCGAGTTTTTGCATCTCGGATTCTAGCTTAGCGCGTATTAATTTGAATTTTTACTACAGTATAGGAAGACGTACACTTGTGATATTCACTGTCCGAGTCAAATTTACCTTGGTTGGCTTTTATATTGGGTGCATTGCTGTTTTATTCTTTATATTTAATCTTGGTCCTATTTCGGTGGGTGTGCAGAACGTGTTATATTGAGGAAATATATATTTTTAAACATAAAAAATGATGTAATTGAAACTGATTAGGGGGATTAGACATTGTAGATACTGAGAATTACATTCGTTTTTGGAATGTTTAGTTTTCAGAACTGGTGCATATAGTGAAGTTGCAAAATTGCGTATGTCACCAAGTCATAGACACATTTCTGCCTAAGTCACAGTGCGCCATTATGACGTCACTTAATTGCGTCACACAAATTAACTTAAATCCGGCTACGATCAAAAAATTGAACCATGGCAAATTATTGACTCTCAATTGCATAACAAAATCATTAGGAAGTTTTTTATGTTTTTCTCAAAACTGCTAAAAATGACTTACGCAATTCGGTTATTAGCGTGACGATATTATAAACATTATATATTGTGTATTCAGTCGCGACACGTTGCAACATTGCCAATTGTCTTGGCGTTGAAACCTTTTTATATTTGGTTGGTACGGATGGAAAATATGTACGGGAATTTGCCAAAAGCCGTATCTCATATGTTAAAGCTACAAGAAATAAAATTACCAAATAAAATGTTTCAATTTAAAGGAAGAACATAATTAAAAAATTATAAAATTTTATAAAATATAATGAGTCTAACCTTCCGCTTACAGTGTCCATGATATTCATGCCTCTGCCGACACGAGTCGATCTTTCATATTGTGTCGAGTCCATATGTATGTGTATAACGTTTCTCGTTGCTTATTTCACGTTTTTTTTTTCAATCCAATTTTCCCGCGTGTAATTTGATCTTATCCGTTTCTTATTCAACGTTGCAATACAATTCTCTCATGGCCTACAGAGTACGGGGAATACAGACTAGCGACGCAGATGACGAAAGCCGGTAGCTCGTCGTCGAGTGCTCTTTTATCCGAGCAACGATGATGAGGATATTGTAAGGTCGTTCACTTCAGATATTTAAAGTCATAAAAATACAAGTTGTCTGTGTATACAGTATTGTATTTAGTTAATTAATTCTAAATCTGTAAAAGTAATAAATATATATGACTGTATGAGTTGAACACTGAAGACAATTTTTGTATGTCATGCAAAAATGATTTCCTACGCCTACGAAAAGGCTGGATGTTTACAGGGATGAGTTTATTTCGATTTTCTCTATATAGGCGTAACAACAAACATAAAACAAAAGAAAAACCAGGAAAATAAACAAATCTTGAATTAAAGCCCAATACCTACAAGCACACGACTGTTACAGGTACTTAAAAAGAAGTACTACACAACTCTCGGTGATCGGACTTTGGGCTTATGATAATACATAAAAGTAGCCAGTCGATCACGTCAATAGTAATATTATTAATATAATAACAATGAGAGCGTTCAATTTTCAACTTGAATTTCAAGACAAATCTTGGTGTCACTGTTTAAACAGCTCCAAAATACATTTCTTCGACGTTATAGCGGTGCGACAAGAATTAACTCCCACGAATAAAGAAATTTTATCTTACTGTGAGAAGAGTGGAGCAATATTACGAGACATTCCCTAGTTATTCAAAATAGATTATACTCGATATCAAGTTGCGACATGTTCGGCATATCGATAAATTATGTCATTGAGCAGAGATAAATCTCCGACCAATACTGGTTATAGAAAATGTATACGGTACTCCATAATTTTTATCGTATTACCAAATTTTCTGGTGAATATTAAATAATCTGGTAATCAAACTGGTAAATTTCCATCGCCACGTGACAATACAATATAAACATACATGGACGTAAAATGGCCGACCGGTCTCCACTCTTGAAATTTGAAATACTTCCTCAACGATTTGATGGAAATGGCTTTTCCGCACTGTCGTACAGAAGTCAAGTATATATAGCTAGCAATACAAAATTGAAATATCAAGATCGACTATGTATGAGTGATCGATACTTGATAAGCAATTGTTGAAGTTATCTAAATTTAGATGAAGCGAAGTATAAAGCAATTATTACATCATCAATCGCAATGGGGTAACAATTTCCTGAATTTAACAATCAAAGCGAACTAGACTCCTATCGCGCTTTCCAAAGAAGACAATTCTCATTTTGGTAATATATATATATATATATATTTAAACTAACTGAGTCCTATGAACTGCAGATAATAATACTAAATTATACTGAGGAGAGAGAACTCCACGGCATAGCGCACAATGACCTCTGTATTCGTAATGAGCGTATCTTTTATACGTGTGTATAAGTGAATTGTTCCGCCGTTATCACATATTACATTGACTAATACATTTGTTAGGTTAGACAAGGTCAGTCGAGTTTGCCGATAATTTAAAAAAATATTTACTTCAAATTTTCGATTCTTCTATGACAAATTTTGACAAATACTGACTGTTTGGAAGTCCAGTAAACAAGATGACTAAAGGTAAAAAAAGACCGAAGAAGAGAGTTTAGAATCGACAACACAGTGGCATTTTCATCGTTGTTATTATAGTTTAAAAAAAAATTTACGATGAATGTGCATTTAAAATACGCATTTAGAAAATATTTATTTTCAAATTTTTTCTCAATAAATTACAAATTGTTGATTATTTCAAAAACATATTCCATTTGTGATATAAAAAGTTCGATAATTAATTTTAGTTATAATCCATTCCCAGCAAGTGATTTTTAATTTTTATAAAGATAATTTATTTATCCAATCAAATTCTAGTGTTAATTTAAAAACCATTGAAATGCGATAAAACAACCCAATAAAACATCAAACGGATACAAAACGTTAACTTGCCTAATTTAAAACTATCACTTTAACTACTTTCGTCAATTGCAACAAAAGTCAGTAACATTTACGACCATTACACGGTAATAAAAATTGGATCCATCAAAGAACTTCAAACAAACAATTAACTAAAACTAAACAAAATAGGGCGGTTTTACGTTGTTTATAATGCTGTAAAAATATGAAATGATTATATAATGTGTCAAATGACTAATAACTAAACTTTGTTATAAACTAAGTGCACGAACTTGTGCGTTGTCTGTACCTTTAGTATAAGAACTCGTCCTTGAGGATCCGTATCCAATTTATACGCTTAGAACGAATCTCACATTTTTCACTGTTTGTACACAAAAGGAACATCGGAGCGTGTCCTATATTTAAATTACTACGAATGATACCACCAACTAACTACCCCTTTATACTATGAAAAACCAACATTCGTCTCCAACACATGTAGATTAACAGTACCGAACAAAATATTTAGAAACCGTCGGATGTATGTTTCACAAACAGACAAACGCCAATCTCTAAAGTAATGACATTACCTTATATTACGTCTATCTTACTGTAAAACATTTTTAACATTTTTCATACGGAATATAGTTCTGTACGTACGTCTGATTTCAAATAACCTGTTGAATAATGACACAAAACTAATAAAATCACCCATTCTTCAAATATTTCACAAAAAATTCCTTTTCGCTGTATTATAATAAATATTATATGAAGAAAAACATATATTGTGATTCTGCTGTTAACAGATAGACCCATTTATATTAATCGAAATCAAGTTTGGAATTCTAAAATACGAATCCCTTGGTGCGTTTGCATCCCCTACCTATTCACAACACCAACTACCTCCATATCCGACGTAAAATCTATCATTTACATAGAATCAGAAAACATACCGGTAGGCTAGTAAATGGGATAATATCGTGTCATGTTATCTAATATCGATAAACAAATCCTAGTATCTACAAATATAGATTATAAAAATCATTAAACCGGATTAATTAATCATGTATTAAGCCGCATTCCAATATTTAACAGAATCAAATATGCCCGAATATTCTCTAATTCAGTATGTTGAATAATCTGCATTGACATGATTAATCGCTATCATTGAATACCAATCGTGGAAAGAAGCGGTGAGTCGGGAAATATAATATATCAAATTTGAAGTTTATACATTTATATACCGTTCCCATTTGTTTTTAAATAGCTGACTATACTGGTGTTTCAAATATATATAACCTTTTCCCAATCACATACAAATAATAAATAGTATATATTTCTTTCCTAATCTAGGAACGTTCTGTGACAATTGTGTCCCCATTTTATGAAATTAAGGTACCCATGATCAAAAATAAACAAAAGTAGTGCTGTGCCCTCATCCTAGCCTAGACTATGAATGGGCATATAAAACCTGTTGTTTTCATTATCGATAAAATCTGGCAACCGGTAGTCGTCTATGCACCAAGCAATCTTGAACGCAGACAATTCCTCAGGGGCATCGTTGTCTTGTTATCTGGTCTTAAATGAGTTCTCCCAGTTACGAGATTAGAAGTAAGGCGGTTCTCATTGATCGCAACAATATTTCTTATTAAAGATGAGATAATTACGGCAAATTTTTTTTATATCGTGCCAGAACATGTAAGAACAATACGTATACAGTATCCTTCTATAAAAACAAACATAGCCCCAGTTAAATCGGTCACGTGATTCTCATTTTTTTTTTGTGGATACAATCGATTTTTATTTCAAATCTGGCAGGTTCAGCTTTATCAAAAATGACAAATGCACCCGTCTGACTTCACCGTGAATAAGTTAATCCACGACGGGGAGATGATATTATGACATAAGCAATAAGCTAAATGGACATTAGTTTAGCATTCATCGTTCAATTTCCGTATTGTTTTTTCCAAGATAAAAATAAATTGAAAAGCTAATTTTAGAAGTCTTTTGTCAAATAGTAAAACGAAATGCTATAGAGTTTCTCTGAAAAATAATGGAATTGAACAATACAAATAAGGCACTCATAGCAGTTGAAATTACGAATCGTCCATTTATTAGTTTTGAAAATTTTGAAGAAGCCGTTTCCATCTATTATGAATGTATGGGTATGTTAGTCAAGGAAAAATAACAGAACCGCGAGTTTAAATCAGTGGTTATATATTTAGCTCAGGATACCGTTTCTCAGAGGCAAGAATTGAAAATATGTTTTTGCTAATTTTGCCAACATACCGCGGTCCAGTTTACTGGCAAATAATTCCCCAATGGCATTATCGCCATCGTAACAAAATTCATTTTCTCACATGCATTCTCTTTTATTACATTTGCATAAGAAGACAGCTTGAGGCCGCACATGAAATACAGATCAAAATAGTCCTTTCTAATGTCGGTAACAACCCCGGTCTATATTCACATAGTTAAATTAAAATAATGTTAGTTAAGACCCCACGTATCTTGGCGGCGGACGAATACCGCGTATACAGAATATTTAATCTTCAACCCCTTGATTATATATTCTGGGAGAATCGCTCAACAAACTAAATTAAACTTGACTCCAGTAATTCGGCAACAGTGTTTCTAATCTAGTTTTGATCACTTTTCCAGCTGCTAGTGCTAAAATAAAGTTCTTAATCAAGTATACAAAGACATTTCTCACAGTTGTGGTTTTCCACCATTAAATTAAGAACGAAAGTCACGGGGTAGGGGGGAAATCATCGATGTTTTGAATTTGCTATTAAATGAGTTACAAGCGACGACGGTATACCTACATGTCGACCCATGAAAATGGTATGGTTAATAGAAAAAATGAGGTTTTTTAAGAAAGATGTTGACATAAAAATTGCCGTCAAGTGGTAGCCATCATACACACATTAAAGGTATGCAAACTACTGCTAATATGGTATATGAGCCGAGAATTCTTTGGCAAATTAGAGTAACAGAAAAAACTCAAACGGGCGAGGGCATTGCTGTATTTATAAAACAAACTAACCGAAGTCGTTGTGAAAATAAATTCAAGCTTTCCTGTTTACGGAGTTCACCGACAATATTCCTAAATTCTTTCGTCGTTCACGACAGCGAGTCAACATTCAATGTCCTAAATGAGAATCGCCATATTGAGGAAGTTCGGTTGTATAAATCCGAGACCTTCCATTGAATCTATTTAGATTCAACGTCTTCTTTCATTCAATGCCAGTATCGACTGTCAGCAAGTTGCGGTTATGCTAATAACATT